GATGCAAGCCCCCTTCAAAACAACCTTTCCAAGTTCTGGTTTATTAGGGAACCATGGATTGATTACTTATTTAGACTTAAATCCCACCTTTCTCCCAGATTGCTAGATGACTTCCAACAAACAGTGGGCCTAAACAGACTGCCAGAAATAGTGCACATTAAATTGAGGCACTGCCCTGGCTCAGTGCTAGGGAATCATGGGAACTGTAATTTATTGTGGCACCAGAGCTCTCTGACAGAGAAGGCTCAATGTCTCAGAAAAAAATACAATTCTCATGATTCCCTAGCACTGAGCCAGGGCAGTGCCTCAATTTAATGTGCACTATTTCTGGCAGTCTGCTTAGGCCTAGTGTCTCCACGTTACATCCCAGGGAGGCAGTGCAGAAAAATATTATGGCACAGAAAGCCACTGAGACAGAATCATCAGGATACACACACACACCCCATCCAGTTTACAATGCAGATCAATTACCAAAACAAGCAAAGCCATTGCTGTTTCATAACCAGGCCTAAAGCTAGACTGAAATGGATCTATAACAGAAGAAAGGCAGAATGTGGCTTGCAGGCCACATGCAGCCCCCAAGATCCTAATTTGTTTTTGTTTTTTGTTTTTTTGCTTTAAACTAGATCCACCTCTGGGATCCCCCCAGCTGTTTTAGCCTGGCCCCAGACTGGAATGATCTGTGAGAAGCGATATGACAGCTGAACATGCTGACTGCATTTAACATAGTATTAAAGAAATATCTCTTCCAGCAGGCCTACCCAGTAAATTTTAAATCATGACTTTTTAATCTATCCATCTTATCCATCTATGAACTCTTATGAGTGTGTTTTAATGATTTTATAGTACAGCCCTCTGTATCCAAGGATTTTTTATCCACAACTTGCAAAGATTCCAAAAATATATAAATTCCAAAAAGGAAACCTTGATTTTCCCTTTTTGTGTAAGGAAACCAAACCTCAGCGGATACCAAGGGCCCACTGTATTGTATTTTAATGGTGGATTAATGTGTTTTTAGTTGTATTTTGTATTTTAGCTTGTACACTGCCTTGAGGAGAGGCAATAATTAATTAATTAATTAATATTTTTTATTATGTCTTCATTCAACAACAAAGTAAAATGTGTTCTTCTTTACTCAACAAGGAAGTTCCTTGGGCTCAAAATCTGTCTCCTCCAGGAATCCTGGAGCTGGGACCTCACCACATCCTCCAGGACCTTAACCCATAATGGGATACTTGGAGACTGGCCAATAGTTACGAAATACGGCAGAATTCTGGGAGGGCCTTTTGAAGGAAAAAGTCTTACAAAAGTCTCTTTCAAACACAACAGAATCATTTCTTGTTGAAAGAGGTGCTCACCACTCCTTTTATCCAACTGGCCAACCTGGCTGCTTTTATAAGCCAGGAAAGGCAAGGGTTCAACACACATGTAGGGGAACACAACTTCAACAGAGGAAAACAGAAGAGGGAATGAAAGGCAAAGGTCTTTTTACGTAAGGGACAAAAGAGAAAGCATATATCCATGAGGTATTTTTCTGGTTGTATAGAATATGAAGAGATATTTCAACAAAACATTCCCAAAGCAGTAACGTTAAGTTAACATCAGTAAATGAAGTAAACAAAGGACTCCTACTTCCTGGTAAGTAGCAAATTGCTCCTGGTTTTTCTGAGTAACATTCAGATGTTTTCCAGAACCCATCACTATCCAAATATACACAGTCATCAACTAAATCTTCATCTTCATCAGACCAGCGACTGAAATTAATATGTTTTCTGTCTGACCAGTGGTAATGTATTCCATCCTAGTGGCACAACCAGAAAGATGAAATAAGTACTCAAGGTAAAAATAAAAATCCAACTCAAGAACTGATGACATTTTACAAAAGAATTACTATATCTGTGGAAGCCAGCATGTAGTAGTGGTTTGAGTTTTGGACTAGGGTCTGAATTCCTGTTCAGCCATGGAAACCTACTGGGTGACCATGACCAAGTCACACTTTCTCAGCCACAGAGGAGGCAGTGGCAAACCTCCTCTGAACACCATCATATGTTCACCTTAGAGTTGCCAGAAATCTAAATTATTTGGAAGACACACAATAACATAACCATATCTGTAAAGAATCAAATATCTTGAATCAGTTCTCATTTGGATGTTTGTTTTTTTAATATAACCCTTTTCAGGTATTCTAAATAAATGTGTTAAAGAACAGGCAAATTAAAGTGCTTACAAAATAATACTGAACCTTTGTGAGTCTAAATTACAAAACCTGATTATTAGTGGAAGAAGACATGTAATTATAGATGTCAGGGAGGAGGAGGAGCAGCTAACCGTGTTTATACTTACTTTCCCACATTAATCATAGTACTTCTTGAAAAAGGTGGGCACACATTGGTCCCTCATGAGACCAATGAGAGTCTGAATGCACTTAATTTTTCCAACTAATGTGTTCTGCTCATTGTGCAAAAGAGCAAAAAGTACTCTACCATCAGCTACCCACAAATCTATAAATTTCTCAAAACGTTTCCTCATATTCTCATGTAGTATTCCGGTGGCATGTTTTGAAAGGTAGAGAAACGTACATCATTGCTGGAGAGTCCGATCCACAGTGGGCAATTATGATAGGCAGCTTGAGCAGCAAGAAAAGCCTGCTGGTACTGTTCTCTGATGCTAACCAGCTGCATATTATTCTGCAGACACTCCTGTTGTGCATCAAACCACGTCAAATTCTTCAGAAGTATGGTGTATTTCACATTCAGATAGTCCACGGTAACATTAACCATTCCCTGTGTCTGGTTTTCTGCAGCCTCTAATGAAGAAACCAAAATAGTTGAATAGGACAAATGGTATCATCCATCACATAATTTAATTTTTAAAACAGCAACAATGTTTCATTAAGCTCTTATGGGGTGGGGGGAGTTCAAGCTTTAAAAGCATTTAATAGTGTGGCATGCTGTAATTTCAGTGATGTGGCAGGAACAAGACTGCATTGTCTAGTCAATTAATCACTTAAATGAACTTGTTAAAATATTTTGAGCAACTGGAACAATGTCCCTAATTGATCAGTATAGATTCTCCAATTATTTTAATCAAATACTTGTAAAAAAACCCCAACTCTTGACATGTGTGAGAAAAAATTGAATGCCTAATCTGAGACGAGGTGTCCCCTACAACACAAATGTATGTATGTATAGCAAGTATATTTCTAAATATTTCTACATTTTACATGCATATTTTTGCAGAATTAACAGTTAATTGGTTTACAGCACATTTGTGTACATGTCTTCTCAGTGGTAAATTTCACAGTGTTCACTGGCATTTAGGACAGCAGTCCAGATTAGGTTTACTTAGGACTCCAGCCTAAAATACAGGATTTTACTTATATAATAGTATTTTTAACCTTGTTTTACAGTCAGCATAGCTCTCAGAACAGCTTTCATACAAAACATATAATAACAAGTAAGACATCTACAAGCAATACAAAACTCATGATAGGGTTGCCTTAGGATTGCCATCACTCAGAAATGACTTGAAGGCATACAACAGCAAAACAAGCAATACATTGAATGAACTTCTATTTCCCTAACTGGATTACAGTCCTTGATGAGAGTAGCCACTCTTGTCAGTTCTGGGTAAATCCATGTTAAAATCCATGTTATTTTGCTTAGCTTTAAGGGCATGATAAGTTTCAGTAGCATCGTATTTGGTATGACGCCTGTGACACCAGAACTGAGGTACAGTGGTCCTTTTGTATCCGCTGAGGCTTGGTTCCAGGTCCCCCATGAATAAAAAACAAACCTTGATTTTGCCTTATACAAAATGGCAAAATCAAGGTTTGTTTTTTGAAATTCATATTTTTAAAAAATATTTTCAAGCTGTGGATGGCTGAATCCATGAATAAGGAATCCATGGATATGGAGGGCTGACTGTAATTGACAAAAATGAAAAGTGTTTCAATAGCTATGAAAATCATTATGGACAGATTCTCTATATCATTGTAAAGTTGCCTTACTCATATCAGGATTTAAAGAGGTCATTGTCAAACTGCTATGTACAAAGAGGAAGTGAACATGACCAACCTGGCATGCAGGTACCTAGCAGGGAGCTATATTCAAATGCAGACATTAGTGGATTTAAAAGTTGCCATGTAAAGCAGAGATAGAGAACGTGTGGCTTTTTTGATGTTAAATACAACCCCTATAATCATTCACCATCAACTATGTTGGCACTGACTGGGGCTGATGGAAGTTGCAATCTGACAAGATCTGGAAGGCTGCACTTTGCCTACCTGACATAGAAAGTACAACGGTTGGGTCTTAGAAGTGAGGCTGCAGGCAAACAAATATCAGACCATTTCCCAAGAACACCACAGATTTCTTAGTTCATTAATATATAGATGTTGACTAGGGATTCTCAGCCTTACCTGGTTCCCTTTGGCATATGGCAACAGAATGGATATCAGCACAAGAAGTGAAATTCCAGGTTCCTACATATGGTGAATTGGGATTGTTGAGCAAAACACCACACTGGTTGTTTACTTCCTCATCAAATAACTAGGGAGGAAACAGAAGATGCAGTGAAACAGGTTTATCAAAAATCCTAGAATGTTACACGAAATATTATCGTAGTCACTGGTATTTAGTTATATGGCTATTTTAAGAATTCTCTAAATAAATTATGCACTGAATGACTTCAGATGTAACATGAAACTTGTAAAAAAGTTTATGGGCGTGTCATCTTCCCTCTTCCCTCCACTTTCCTGTTGTTGTTGTTGTTATCCAGAATCCTACTGAGGATTTTTGTATACACAAACACACACCACACACCATAATTATGGTGCTACACAGTAAATCCCATCCTGGTCCTCCCAATCCACTTCACATTGGAAATTGCTCAAGCAAGGGGGGTGGCAGCAACACTGGTCAACTGCTTCCCATTCAACAGGGAAACATATCTCCTTCCTTTGAATGCAGCAGCTGCTTCCTGGTATGTGGAGACTGGAGGGCAGAATGGTGTAGTGGCTTGAGCATTGGACTATGACTCTGGAGATCAGGGTTCAACTCCCTGCTGTGCAACAGAAACCCACTGGGTGACCTTGGCTAAGTCACATATTCTCTGCCCCAGGAAATGCCTAAGGGTTACTATAAGTTGGAAACAACTTGAAGGTACACAACATGTATCCCTAAACAAGGGACTATGTAGTGATCATGAATATGAAACAGTCAGGAGTGCATAATTCAAGGTTACACATTTGTAACTGCCTAGTAGGATTTTGGCCATCATCATTCTCCTCTTCCTTCTCCCCCCATCTTTTCCTGAAAACTGGCATTCAAGGCAACATACAAAATTAGAACAAATACTGTTAAATGCACTTTCAAGAAACATATGTAATCACATAAAAAGTCACTGTCAGAATGCAATGAAACTATTCATAGAGTTAATGACTGAATATTATAACATTATGCTTTCTTTTTGAACTGACTTATCCCACAGAAACTGTATATTTTATTCATATCTCATTTTTCTCCCCAAAACTAGTATTCAAGGTGGCTTCCAAAACACCCCAGATACAAATAAAAGCAAATGCACATAACTACTAAAGGTTATTATTAAAACTCAGTTCAATTATCTATGCTATCAAGATCTAATGAATGAGAAACAATCTGAAACACAAATAAATAAATAAAATATAAAAACTTTTGTATTTAAAAACAAATAAAAGACATACAGCACAAGTCCTTTCCTTAAAACAGACTTTAGTTGTCCAAAGCCTAATGGAATAAAAAAAAGCCTTTGTCTGCCAATGGATGGACAATAGGAAGGGAACCAGTTTAGCACCTCCAGGAAGAAACTCCAGATTGTGTGAGCAGCCATTGAAAAGTCCTGCCCTTCTGTCCCCATCAAGGAGTCGTGGTGGTGCTTTTCTGTGAGGGTGGCGGGACCAAGATAAGGGCCCTTCCCAAGTTCTCAGGGGCCTGGATCAGGCTCACAAGGGAGAATACAGACCTTCATATAGGCTGTACCTAGCCCTGTATACTGTTAATTAGATAAGGTTTACTGAAACGAGTCACTTCAACCCATGGTTTATAAATCTGGCTTACTCCAATATTTCAGTTAAAATGAACTACAGAGGTCAGGTGTACTGCTACACTGTGCTTGACTGAGAACAGAAAGAAAAGCTTGTCCTTTTCTTGTGACCATGGCACAGGATGAAAGGACACTCGTCTGAAGCTCATGTTCATAGGGCTAACATCCAAACCATTATTACATCTAAATCAGTCCATTGCTGGGTGAAATGGAACTAAAGAAACTATTATTTTATTTCAGAATTAGATAGAGGCCCCCTAGATTGATTTTATAAAAAGATGTTTTTATGTTTGTCCTTTTTAAAAAAATATTTTTATCATGGTACTGCCATAATTAAACTATAAATAAGCTACAACTTTCAGCAGGTTTCAGCAGTGCATTTGCACAGCAGTGCATTTACACAGCTAAAACTAGTGTACCAGCTGTGCCGTTCCTTGAGATATCAGATCTAGCTATGATTACACATGCCTTGATTACATCCCATTTGGACTACTGTAACACACTCTACATGGGGCTGCCTTTGGAAACCTTTTGGAAACTTCAGTGGGTTCAAAACACTGCAGATAGAATGCTGATCGGAGCTAGTTATAGGGAGTATATAACTCCCTTATTGAAATAGCTTCACTGGCTAATGGTTTGTTTTTAGGCACAATTCAAAGTGCTGGTCATGACCTATAAAGCCCTATATAGCTTAGGTTCAAACTATTTGAGAGACCGTATCTCCCCATACGAACCTGCTAGAGCCTAAGATCTTCAGGGGAAGGCTTTCTCTCACCACCATCACAAACTCACTTGGTGAGGACATGAGAGAGAGCCTTCATGGTGGCTGCTCCCACCCTCTGCAATGCCCTTCCATGGGAGGCTAGGCTGGCCCTCTCCCTGCTTCCCTTTCACTGGCAAGCAGACATGTTTTTATTTAGGCAGACTTTAATATATGGGTTTTTATACAGGGTGGGTGGGTGTATTTTTAGTTATGTTTTTAACTTTTGTATGTTTTTATGTTAATTTTATACTGTAAAGTTTTAAAAATGTTTTGTCTTATCAGCCACCTTGGGTGCTTTTATGGGAGAAAGGCAGTATAAAAATAAAATGAATGAATGAATGAATGAATAAAAATACAACTTGAGAAACTATTTCATAGTGGCATTGTTCTATACCTCTGTTTCTGTAGAGAAAGGCACTAAGCTTCAGACTGAAAATGCAAAAGGATTAATTTTATTTTTTAAAAATACAGCTGGTAAGAAGTTTAGTCCTTTTCTCCTTTAACCAAATTAAAGAGAAAGCCTAGAGAAGAAGGGGAAAAAGAGAAATCTCTGTAACTCACATCTAGCTGAACCTTCCTTAGCCTTCCTTGAAGTAATGGATGGAAGTTGGTATACTCTAGAGCACTTCCATCTACCCATTTTTCTTCACGCATATGAACGCGAATATGCAAACCAATCCAAATGTTTTGGGGCCTGCCAGGAAGCAAGGATGTTACAAAATCTGTGGGGCAGAAGATAAATACTTTCATATTAGGATCAGACAGTCAAAGCAAACATCCAAACCTTGCTTGCATATGTAAAACAACAATCCTCTAGTTCAGGGGTAGGCAACCTTTCCCCTTTAAGGGCCGAGGGACTTCAGCTCCCAGAAGCCTCAGCCATGTTGGCCAATAGTCCCATGTTGGCCAATAGCTCCTGGGATTCTGGGAGCTGAAGTCCCTTGGCCCTTAAAGGGGAAAGGTTGCCTACCCCTGCTCTAGTTAGATTAGCTAGCTGTCTGAACAGTGAAGGAAACTGACAGGAAAAAAATCAACTGATTTGGAATGTGGTGCTGGAGGAGTGTTCTGCAGATACCATGGACTGCCAAAGATGCCTGAACTTTTATTAAATTGACTAAACTGAGGCTATCATACTTTGAGCATATGAGATGACATGATACAGTTGAAAAGACGTTATTGTTCAGTAAAGTGGAACCAGAGCAGGAAAAGAGGAAGACTGCATGACCTGTGGATTGACTCAATCAAGGAAGCCACAGCCCTGAATTTGCAACACCTGAGCAAGGCTGCTGATAGCCAGGGCTCTTATTCACAGGTCACTGTATGTGACAGCTGATGATTGAAAATAACAGCAAGAATAAATTAGATTAAATGCATACTAATTAATTATAAATCTATTAAATGGTTAGCTACAAAGTTATTTACTGATTAACTAAAAATCATCTTGTAGATGATCTATTAAGGATTTTCAATGCAATACTGCTACACAACTCCTGTAGCTATAAATGGAAGCAATTCAAACCTTAGATTATTTTACACTGTAAATCTTACTATACAATTTACAATGCTTGACCTGAATTTTCTACACTGAGCTTTTTGTCCAACTGACAGATCCACTGATGATCCCCTGAATGTCAGAACACACATTTGCTCATTTTCAAGAATAGGCAGGGCTATCAGTTTTTCCTTTCTTGGTTCTATTTTGACTTCACTTCTCAACATATACACTGCCCTGCTTATGCATGTCTTCTTTGCCATTGAGAACTGCACACATGCCACTGAAAGCCCTTTCACACTGAGCAACTGTAGTACTATGATTCCACTTTAATTGCCACTGTTCTATCACATGGAAGATTTGCAGTTTATGGAGAGGGATCTGGAGTTCTCATCAGGAAGTGCTAATGCTTCACAAAACTACAAACCCCAAGATTCCATAGGATGAAGCCAGGATTGTTAAAGTGGAATAACAGCACTACAGTTGTCCTTCCATGTTTGCAGGTTAAGCATTTGCTGATTTGATAATTCGTGGATTACAGCACAGTATTTGCTGCCACCATACACAATTTTTAACTGGGACTTCAATAACACCTGTTTCACTGGGAGGACATCAAACTGGGGGTGAGGGTGGCTAGGCCTGTCTGCACGGACATTTCCTTGCTCAAGTATGGATAGGAAGGAAGAAAATGGGATAGGGGTTTGTAGTTTTGTGAAGCATTAGTGCTTCCTGGATGAGAACTCCAAATGCCTCTCCATAAACTCCATAAAAGAAGGGAAAGTAAATGCGTAAACTTGTTCACTCTCTCAGGGAGGCAGGCAGGCAGGTAGGGGGAACAGGATGGGGGAAATGTAAAGGAGGGTACATGCATTCCCTCACTTGGGCAGGTGCGTCAGGGAAGGGATGGGATGGGGAGTGTGAGGAGGGAGGGTGCTCATGGGAGCAGGCAAAAAGGGATGGGATGAAGGAGCACAAGGAGGGAGGGTGTATGTGTTCTCTTGCTCAGGCAGCCGGGTAGGTGGCGATGGAGGAAGTACGAGAAGTGTGTGTGTGTGTATTCACTTGCTCATTCTCATGGGAAGGGTATGGAATGAGGAGTTCGTGGAAGGAGGGCATGTGTATTGACTCACATATTTGCATGGGTGGGAAGGGAGATGGTGATGGGTCCTCTTCTTGCATCCCCATCCCATCCCATCTCCTTTCCTCCTGCCTGAGTGTGAGAGTGAGTGAGGGAACATGTGTGTGGCTGGTCTATTTGTGTGTGGTAAGGGAAAAGGAACAGGAGGAAGAGAGAAAAAGAGACATGGAGAGGGAACAGAGAGAGGAAAGAGAAAAACTTCTGCAGCAAAAGTGTGAAATGGACTCCAAACTGAAGATCCAAATGAAGTCCCCCTTTCTAACATTTTGGAACCCTTTACCCAATATTATATTTCTGTGCTTTTTGTGTGTTAGGTTGGGAGGAGCTGGAGATAGGGACTGCACCCCTAACCCCTGCAAAAGTTGACAGTTGACTGTGTAATTATGTAGTATGGAAGGGCCTTTTTCAATTTATTCTAAAGAGTGGTGGAATTGTTAGATGTGGGCAAAGCCTTTTATAATCCTGTCTTTATTTGTCTCCAGAACAATGTTCTGTATTAGTTCACAGCGTGAACAATGTTGTATATTTGGTCTCGTCAACCCTGCTTACTTCCCCAATAATGTCTAGTGTTTGTATGAATTAGGTACCCTTGCAA